AATCTGTGCAACAGAGTCGGCGATGGTCACACTCGCCAGCGAGCTGCGAGCTACATGGTGGACAATTTCAGTGGCACCGCTTGGGATTTCAACCACGAACAGAGACTGCAAGTCAATGTCATCAGGAAACTGGTTAAATGGAGACCCCCAGCCAATCTGGTTAAATCGAGACACCCAGCCAATCTGGTTAAATGGAGACACCCAGCCAATATGGGAGCAGGTGACCTTGTTTTGCCTGAAGATTACTGTCACTTCGGATTCTGGAGAAAGGCCTGCATCTGCAGCTGTCTCATCATTCTTTAGCAATCTACTTGCCCCCACAACAATGTCCACCCTCATGGTCTCACGCGTCAATTCATCATCCCAAAGCTGGCACTCTTTGATCCGCTCCTTGAGTTCTCGACCACTGATATCTGGCATGATTTCAAGATCCATCCCTTCGCCATTCAGCTGCCGAAATGAAACCCTCATAGTCATGGCTGCGCTAAGGCTTCAAGATGAATCGTTAACGCTACTCCACATTACTTCACTAGAGACTTGATCCAAAACCCTCAGACATCCACAATAGATCAGCACACTTTATGGATCAATCTTTTTGAGGTCCTTGGCACAAGTGTGATACACATGTTCCATCCGGACATACTCTATAGGTGAAAGATGCTAGGACAAAAGCCCACCAAGGACTTAAGGGGTTTGAGTCTCAAAAAAAAAACTGTCAATGGATACTATAGTTGCATAGGTGTTCTTCCAAAAAAGCCGAATCCACAAGATTGGTGGCCCGCCCACCAGTTCCTACCCACCACTCGCCTTGGACAACACGAAGGCGGCCGACCTGTAGGTGATCTCATCTGGCTGTAAACCTCACCAAACCGCAGGCCGCAAGCCGCCACCGTTGGCGGGAAAAACACCATATATTACATTTACAATACATTTACAACATATACAATATAAACGAAAAACTCAAGCACAACTAATATAAAACACGTTGCATAGGCCGAGTAGAGGTCCAGTGGCCTCGTAAAAGCACCACAAAAAAGTAAAAACGACGAATGGACCGACTGATGAGGTTCCTTCGAGTCGATGAGTCGATTCTACCTGCTGAGTCGAAGCGGACGACCCGGCGCTTCAAAAATCCCAAAACGGTTCCTGTCAGTCCGCTCAAACACCCAAAACTCATGAGTACGAGTGATTATGCTTTAAAACTATACCGGCACAGACCCCAGATAGCACTTCAAGAAAAGTTGGATGCATGGCAAGAGCGGGAGACAAGCTTGGGAGACATTCCACTCAAAGCCGGGAAAAGGATGGAAAAGGTAATCAAGACCTAAATCATCTTATAACAGCATCCGCGTCAAAGGCAGGCAAGAAAATGACAAGGCGGCAGCGGCAGCCAAGAGCGAAATCAGGAACAGAGACAAGCTTGGGAACCACGGCGGCAGCGGCAGCCAAGAGCGAAATCATGAAGGGAGACAAGCTTGGGAGACCAGGCAGCAGCGGCAGCCAAGAGCAAAGTTATCAGTTATGAAGGGAGACAAGCTTGAGAAGGAAACAAGACGGCAGCGGCAGCCAAGAGCAAAATCATGAAGGGAGACAAGCTTGAGAGACCAGCGGCAGCCAAAAGCAAAATCATGAAGGGAGACAAGCTTGGGAGACAAGGCGGCAGCGGCAGCCAAGAGCAAAATGAGGAAGGCAGACAAGCTTGAGAGACAAGGCGGCAGCGGCAGCCAAGAGCGAAATCATGAAGGGAGACAAGCTTCACAGACAAGGCGGCAGCGGCAGCCAAAAGCGAAATCAGGGAGACAAGCTTGGGAGACAAGGCGGCAGCGTGAGCCAAAAGCGAAATCATGAAGGGAGACAAGCTTGAGAGACAAGGCGGCAGCGGCAGCCAAAAGCGACATCATGAAAGGAGTTCACAGACAAGGCGGCAGCGGCAGCCAAGAGCGAAATCACGAAGGGAGACAAGCTGAAGAGCAAAATCATGAAGGGAGACAAGCTTGGAAGACAAGCCGGCAGAGGCAGCCAAGAGCGAAGTCATGAAGGGAGACAAGCTTCACAGACAAGGCGGCAGCGGCAGCCAAGAGCGAAATCATGACGGGAGACAAGCTTGGGAAACAAGGCGGTAGCGGCAGTGGCAGCCAATTTCCGCAATCAGGAACCCATCCATTGAGAAGTAAGAACCCCTATAGCTTCGCTATCTGGGGAAAAATTGCGTGAGTAGGAGTATGCTACGAGTATGTTCACGAGAAAAACCTTACAAATCCTCGCGATGGTTTGGGTGCCGCATCCTGTTTCGATGAACCACACGCTCCGTGTATACGGATGGTCTGCACCACACGCGAGAGAAACGGCGCCTGACTGCGCGAGGCGCTCCCAGAGCGTCTCGAAGTCGACCGCCTCGACCGCCTCGAGCGCCTGCGACGGCCGCGACGTGGCCGTCGAGTCGGTGGGGATGGAGTGGGGGCCCGGTGGTGGCCTGGGGGACCTGAGGATGTTGGGGAGGTCGGGGAAAGCTGGTAGGAAAGCTGGTAGAAAAGTGCAAGGTTGGAGCTGGTTTGGATGTTTTCGACGATGCTTTCGTTGTGTTCATTGCTTTCGAAGATGCGGCTGCGATAGGCCTGGCAAGAGTTCAAAAGGCGGTTTCAGCTGGTGTGTGTGTGTGTGTGGCCGTTAAATCCGTGGAAGAATTCGGATGAATTATATTCTGAAGCGGAGTTGAATAGAACCTATACAACACAAAAAGAACCACAAATTAGGTGCAGATAGCAATGGATCGAGCAGCCCCTCCTGCAGCCAAGTACTTGGTCCGGGAAGAGTGATGAGGTCTGCATGATTCCCCTGGTGCCAGTCCACCAACCCCTTTGATAGGCGCAGTCCTGCGCGGGACTTCCATGAAACCGGTCCCAACATCCCTCGTTGGTGGGCGCCGTCCAACATCCGAAGAATGAAATGGATCAACTGTCCATGAATAACATCTCTGACAGCTTCGTTTGGCCAAATACTTGGACACCCTGCACCAAAGACCTATTCTTGTGCTTTATGATGCTTTTATTATGTTTGATGTGTCTTTTTAGTCTTTTACCTGGCAGAAGACATCCCCCAAAACATCCTCAAACCTCTCCCAACACACACCTGGCCTTTACAGGATCCCTGCCACTCCGCCTCCGAACGGCTCCCGACCCCGATCCGGTGTGCTTCTTCGCCGCAACCGCCGCCGCACCGTGTTGAAGCTCACCAGGTCGGGCTCCAGGCTCCGATGCGGAAGCTCCTCGCGGTCGAGTCGCCCCCGACGGTCGGACGGAAGGAGAAAGGAAGCAGAGAAGTCAGGAAGTCAGGACCACGTCGATCTTGAAAGGATCTTGGTAGACTCTTGACTTCATTGATGTACAAGGGAACACATTTCTTGATAGATTCTTGAGCTGTGTGCTTGCAGCAGGGCGATCGGCAGGGCGTTCTCGGCCTTCTTGCAAAACTCTCCGTCGAGTTGGGGAACCCCACTCTTTGGGTCGGTCGACTTGGGTCGACGACTCGGGTTTTGCATGTGATCACATGGTTTTGAAAGGTTTTCCTCACGGTTTCTCCACTGAGTTCCCATTCTGGCATTGCTCCAGCTCGCTCGCTCCAGCTACGGATTCGGCACCCCACCGAATCGTTCGCCCGAAGCAATGATCCCAGACCCACCCAAAGGAAGTGACCCACCCAGGTCACTGTGACCACCGGGGTGGGGAAATGTCCGGGCGCACTACCTGGTTCTACCGTTCTACCGATAGGTCGGTCCGACGTGTCCGTTACGTGGACGTGACATCTGGTGGAGGCCAAGCCTGGAACCGCCTGTTCCACCGGTCGAACGGTTTCTCACGGTTTCTCTCGTCCGGCAGGACGACGGTTCGCGTGGCGTATGATATGGGTCCCATGAAGCTCCGCCCAGCTCCGCCACTAAGGTCTCTTTTTTTTCCGCCCAGCTTTCACCAAGAGGAGCCCTCAATGAAAGCCGAGCTGGAAGGGCAGAATAGAAATGGACATGATGTAGTACACTTGTGGCAAAGGTTCAGTCAAAGTACGATCGGTATCTATCAATATTCGGTGTTATTTTTATGGCTGTGCCTCTTGGACATGATGTACATATAGCTATATTGCTTCAAACAGCCTCTTGGCAACGGCGGCCTTGGTGGGTCACCGCGGTGATGGCGGCCATGCTGTGAAGAGCGCTACCGTCGTTTCGGACACACCCAGCCGTTCAGAAACCAGCTGTAATTACTCGATGCAGCCGCTGACCCAGGGCCGACTGACCCAGCGTGTCGTCTGGCAAGTTCATTGACACAACACCACGCTGTGCGGAAAGTACTTGGCTTTCTTCAAGTACTTGGCTCTGAGCAATCATGCTGTGAAGATCGCCACCGTTGTTTCGGACACACCCAGCCATTCTGAAACCACCAGTACTCGCACTCTTGACATTCACATTCTTTTGCCAGAATCCGTTTGCAGCCAGTGAAGGCGTCAACTCCCAACTGGATCCGAGTAGTGGAAACGACCAAAGTCAAAGCACTGCATTCAGCAAAAGCTTCATCCGCAATCTTGGTCACTGAGACCGGGATGGCCACACTTGCCAGCGAGATGCACGACGCAAAGGCGCTAGGCCCAATCTCGGTCACTGAGTCCGGAATGGTCACACTAGCCAAGGAGG